GGCTTATAATTATTGTCAATAATCACTGTCAGATAATTTTTAACAATATTTATCTTTTTAGATTTTATCATCTGAGAAACACATGATAAAATTATGTTTATCTGCAGGAGTCTTAAATATAATAACCTTTGTCTATAGAATTTTCGATATTTATTCTTAAAGCCAAACAGAAATATGAAGTTTTGTAGTCAGAATTCAGATTTCAAAATGAAGATCAGAAGAAACTGATGCAGAGAATCAGATAAAAATTGAAGCCAATCTATCTAAGCATTTTAACATTAAGTTCTAAGAAAGTCAGGAGTCATGTCTAGAAATTGTTTTGAAAGAGTTTTTGTTTCTCCACTTTCAGTTTAATCTATTCACAGGTAGGGTTGGGATTCCACAATGTCACAATGTTTAAAAGCAGTGGTAAGTTTAATGTCTTAGTTCCTGTAAGAGTTCAACTATCTCAGACAGAGAAGAGAAAAGATGCAAATAGGAATCACTGGTAATCTAGAATAAGCCCACGTCTCAGCCACAAGAGACACCAATACACATAATCCAAGAGCAGAAAATATCATTCAACTTCTACTGACTATGAACTATTTTAAAGAAAATCATTTTCTATTAACACTCATTCACAATAACATCAAGAACTACACAGATAAATGTTGACTTTGGGTCACAATTTAATCTCCCCAGAGGTCAAAAAAGTAGGTAGTGTTTCCCTGAAAATAAAATATCCTCCGAAAATAAGACCTACTTACAAGTTTCCTTCTGAGTGAAATATAAGGAATCCCCCCCCGAAAATAAGGCCCCTCATAGCCTCTGACTTCTCTAAATACCATCTTTCCAACATGATTCCTATGGATGAAAATGCAGTGTTTATGGGCCAATCATACCATCTTTCCAACATGATTGCTATGGATGAAAATGCAGTGTTTATAGGCCAATCATCTCAAACAACAATTGAATAGCGGGGTGCCTCCTTAGTGTACATTCCCTCCACTACTTACAAAAGTGCACGTGTTTCCTGTATTTTGGCAATTCATCTGGATGGCACTAAAATCCCACCTTTAATCATTTCTAAGGGCAAGAAGGAAAAGATTGAAAGTGTTTTGGGCGTTTTTATTCTTGAAACTGAAAAAGCCTGGGCCACACAAGCAGTTATAAGGAAGTGTGTCGATTTAATGCTGCTGCTTGTTATATGAGAGGGAGCCAAAGAGGTCTGCTAGTCTGGGATGCAGCCAGCACTCACCACGCTAAAGACATGAAGACATTTCTTCACAAAAGGAAACTAGATCAAGTAATGATTCCCGCAGGAATGACGGCCTATCTCCACACTCTTGATATTGCAATAAACAAACCATTCAAAGACAATTTGCGCATGGAAATTAATGACTACATTGAAAAATAGAATGGAGAGAAATCAGCGTGGAAACTTTGTGAAACCTAAACTGCAAGAAGTTGTGACTTGGGTGAAGAATTCATGGGAGAAAATCACTGACAGTTGCATTGCAAATGCACTGAGAGCAGGCTACCTTGACAAGAAGTACTCATTTGAAGACAGTGCTATTGCTAAACATGAGAGATTTGGTCCACTGATTCTGAAAGAAATGGAGTCACAAGAAATTCACCAGGAAATTCAGGAATTGGATTATTATGATGATGTTCCAGAAGATGATGACATGATTGTCATTGAATAAATGAGTAAATTCTTGATACTGTAGGGTTCACAGTCTGGTTTGTGTTGACAACTACCATACTACTGTACCGTATACAGGTAATAAATTTCCTTTATTTTCTTTTTTTTTTTTTTAATATATTTTATTGATTTACATAGAGAGGAATTGAGAGTGATAGAAAGTTAGAAATGTCGATGAGAGAGAAACATCAGCCAGCTGCCTCTTGCATACCCCCTACTGGGGATATGCCCACAACCAAAGTACATGCCCTTGACCAGAATCGAACCGGGGACCTTTCAGTCCCCAAGCCGACGCTCTATCCATTGAGCTAAACCGACCTCGGCATAAATTTCTTTTATTTTCATTTAACAATAAATGTGTACCGTATTCTTCTTCATGAAAAAATAACACATCCCCTGAAAATAAGACCTAACGTCTTTGGGAGCAAAAATTAATATAAGACACTGTTTTATTTTCGGGAAAACAGGGTATTATGACAAGAGGGAACAGAAAGTATATAGGTTTTTATATATTAAAATTTAGAATTTTTTTTAATTATCAGCTAATAAAACTCATCCTACCACTTACTACAAACAGATAATTCCCATTAACTCTGTTTAAAATTTAACAAGATCAAGAATCTCTACTTAGCGTGATATCATAAAATATTTTGAGAAAATAGTTTGTGCCATTAAATTGTTTTAAATGTTAGAACCAAAACTGGTTTGGTTCAGTGGATAGAGTATCGGCTTGCAGACTCAAAGGTCCCAGGTTCGATTCTGGTCAAGGGCATGTACCTTGGTTGTGGGCACATCCCTAGTAGGGGGTGTGCCCTCTCTCATCGATGTTTCTAACTCTCTATCCCTCTCTCTTCCTCTCTGTAAAAAATCAATAAAATATATTTAAAAATAAAATAAAAAATAAAAATAAATTGTTTTAAATGTTATAAAAAAAGAAGTGATACCTGTGAATGACTACAACTTAATAAGCAAAAAGAAAAAAAATTACAAAAATCAGAATTTATTGCCAAAAAATAATTATGGAATATTTAAAGAAATTAAGATTTGGAGTTTTTCCCATAATTGTATTAATATAAGTAATAATCTCTGAGATCCAACTCTTTTTATCACAGTTTACAATCTGAACTATAACAAATCAAAATAGCATTCTAGTCAAGAATATCCTATCTGCCAAGGTTTCCCCAAGAGAACCAAAGTGGATTTGGATTTTACCCCCTTGCCCTTCCTTTTCTTTCCTTTCTTTGGAAATACCAAGCATCAGTGAATGAACTGGAAGGTAAAAGAGCTGAGAAGGTTATAAAACAAACAAAACAAAAATCAAGATAAACTTATCAACTTTTGATTACTGGGAGTGACCTGAATTAGTCACCACGACATCCAAGTAGTTTTGGTTTAAGATTATATCCTATCTCTGTTTAATATCTAAGCAGAGAAAAAGACTATCAATTTTGGAATCAAAAGACATGGATGAGAATCCATTATGGCCTGAGTGACCTCATGCAAGCTCTTTAAATTAGTTTCCCTATCATCAGAAAATATCTCCTCTCCTAGATTACTTTAAACATTAAATGAGATTATGGAAAGGAAAGTTCTCAGTAAATCACAAGTGAATTCTGATTGTTGATGCTATTTAAAGTAATACTAATAACATAACCTAACTTCATCCTTTCCTTATCATCCTTAGCAGGAGAAAAAAAAAAAAAAAAAAAAAAAAAAAAACCCAGAAAGGAGAAAGACTAAGCATAGGAAATTCTATGGAAGAATACTTAAAATCTGTTAGAGGAATGCGCCCTGGCAGGGTAGTTCAGTGGTTTTCAGGTTCCATCTCTGGTCAGGGCACATACAAGAAGCAACCGACGGATGCATAAATAGGTGAAACAACAAATTGATGTCTCTCTCTCTCTCCCACCCTTTCTCAAATCAGTAAATAAATTTTCAAAGTATTTTTAAAACCTGTTAAAAAGGATGAAACCATAAGGGCTTTCACTTCTCACTTCCTTTAAATTTCCACTCAAAGGGGGCAGAATAAGTAATGTTTATTGTTCAAGTGTGTCTTGGTATTTTTCACATATTGAAATTAAAATTTTATATGTATCTTTACATGAGCTTCAATAAAACTAAAGAAACAAAGTAAACCATACTCTTCTTTCTATGGTTTCCAATTTTGTACAATGTGAATATATGACCTTTTTAAAAAGTTTGTTTTTTAAAAATCACAAACCATAGAGCAAGTATGCATGCTTTATATCTCAGAGATTTTTGAAAGGCCTAAACCACAAGGTCCAGTGGCTACTATGAAACACAATTTTTCCCCCCTCTGGTCAGCTTTAGTAAAACTCCCCTCAGAGGGTGCGCCAAATGTTTTGAAAAGAGAAGAACCCTACTCATGAACAGTTCATGACTTACATTACTCTTAAGACATGACTCTTGCCGAAACCGGTTTAGCTCAGTGGATAGAGCGTCTGCCTGTGGACTGAAAGGTCCCAGGTTCGATTCTGGTCAAGGGCATGTACATTGGTTGCTGGCACATCCCCGGAAGGGGGTGTGCAAGAGGCAGCTTGTTGATGTTTCTAGCTCTCTATCCCTCTCTCCTCCTCTCTGTAAAAAATCAATAAAATATATATTTAAAAAAACTCAGTTGTAAAAAAGAAAAAGATATGACTCTACCTCGTAATATCTCATTTCCCCCATATATCCATAAAATAAGCATAAATATATTTTCAAGTAAAGAATAGAGAAAATGTTTTTGCATCTTTGTAAAAAAAAAAAAAAAAAAAAAAAAACCTTTGGCAGGTTCATTATCTAAGTATCAACAGAAAGGGACACAATGATAGGACCTCATGATAGGTTCTTAAGAGAAATGTGGGAAATCAAATGTACAACATAAATGAAGTTTATGTGCTTTAACTTTAAATTGGCATTGTCATCAAAACCAATTCTGAAGAAGAAGAAGAAAGAAGAAAGAAGAAAGGAGGAGGAGGAGGAGGAGGAGGAGGAGGAGGAGGAGGAGGAGGAGGAGGAGGAGGAGGAGGAGAGAAGAAAGAAGAAGAAAGAAGAAGAAAGAAGAAGAAAGAAGAAGGAAGAAGAAGGAAGAAGAAGGAAGAAGAAGGAAGAAGGAGGAAGAAGGAGGAAGAAGGAGGAAGAAGGAGGAGGAGGAGGAGGAGGAGGAGGAGGAGGAGGAGGAGGAGGAGGAGGAGGAGGAGGAGGAGGAGGAAGAGGAGGAGGAGGAGGAGGAGAAGGAGAAGAAGAAGAGGAGGAAGAAGAATCTGAAAACAAACCCAACTTCAGAAAGCTGGGAAAGGGGAGAAACATTTACCTGAAGCATCTCCAACTTTAAAATCACTGTCATCTGAACTATCATAATCGAGAGCTTCTAGCAGAGAAGCTGCCAAAGGCTTCACCTGCCTCCTCTTGGAGCTGCGATCCACTGTTAAGAAAGAAAGAGAGAAAAAAAATTACAGCGTCATTCAAAAACCACACAAAGCACGGGGGAGAGCGGTGGTGCTGAGGGAAGGTGCACAAGACCTCCTGCTCGGGATCTTTATTGGACTCCGTTCTGGGCAGAAGGTGTCGGGGCAGGTTGGGGTGGGAAGGCGGGCTGGGGAGGGCCGGGCTGTAAAGTGGGCAGCTCCAGCCACCGGTCGGCGAAGGCGAACCCAGGCTGGCAGGAGGCACTGAAGCTGACCCTCTTGCACAGCTTGGGATGTCTCTACGAGTGGGTCCCAATCCCTCATCTGGACCCCGTGACAGTCCGCAGAAAGAACACGCAAGGCCCGGGGGTTATAAAAGAAGTCACGATCGTTCCCGCGGACCGCGACGGGGAGGCTTCCACCCCACCCCCGCCCTGCGGCCCCACCGGCTCTCACTCCGACCTACACGGGTTGACAGGGAGGGACCTCGCTCCCCGCGGAGGCCTCCGACACTTACTAAGGAATCCGTGAGGCGGTCGTTGGGAGACCTAGCGAGAGGCTGCGAGAGCCCAGGCAGCGCCGAGGTCGGGCGCGGAGACCGCGGGAACCAGTCGGCAGCTGCTATTTAAAAATCGGCGGCGCCGCCGGGCGGATGGGGCGTCCCCGGTGCAGCCCCGCGGTCCCAGCCCGCACCCCACCCCCTGGCCCGCCCCTCCGTCCTCGCAGAACCGGCCCCAGGAGCTCGAGCTTCCCAGGCGCTCGCTCCCCGGGCGCGGGCGCCCTCCGGTCCCGGCAGCGCCGCCAACCTGGCAGCCCTGCGGAGTGAACTCCCTCGTTAAAACTGTTAGAAGAAAAAAAAAAAAAGAAAGAAAAAAAGAAAAAAACTTTATTAGCCTGCACCAGAAGCAACAAAAGACCCAGAATTTGCACAGTCCGAGACCAGACTGCCTGAGACAATAGGGAAAGCAACGACCCGGATACAGCTTGGAAGACAAGGAAGTAGAAGCGCGAGGCAGCGCAGGTCCTGAAGGCAGCGGGAGCCCAGGGCGCCTGCGCCGAACCCGGCCCGCTCTTCCTCCCCGAGCGGAGCCGAGCAGAGCCGGGCGGAGCCGAGCGGAGCCGAGCGGAGCCGAACCCAGTCCAGAGAGGCCGAGCGCCGGGCGGGAGTGCCACCCAGATCCGGAGGGGCCCCGCCCAAAATCCCCGAGGCTCCACCTTCAGTCCAAATCTGTAGGGGACATTTTTTTTTTTTTTTAAAGGATTTATACGATTTCCACAAAGGAACGTTTGCTAACTTAAGTTACTCTCAAAAAACAATACCATCTCTTCCACTGCTTCTTCCCTAGATTGCATCCCTTAAGATATCTTGGTACATGGGGAAATTTTATTTCCTGGAAGCGGGTGATGTGAGAATAGCATTGGGCCTTGGTTGCTGCTTTGATAATTACAACTCTAACAGAGGGGGAAACATTCATTTAATTATATTGACTATTGTGAGAATGATTGTGCTTCGGACAGACATTTCCGCATTAAATAAAACATACACAGTATTTAATTCTGCCAAGAAAAAGAGAGAATAGACCTAGGGGAAATAGTCCCTCTCACAAGTATATTATGCATTAACTTATGATGTATGTCCAATGAATGTAAAATAGTGCCTTACATCCAGTTAGAGAATTTATTAAAGTGAAATTTTAATACTGGTAAATTCACAAATAAAAACATGAGGACAGTATGTACAACCAAACAAGGCAGTCCTCTGTCAATGGATGGTCATTGGTGCCAATTCAATCCCAACAGGAATCTCCAGTTTGGGGTGCAGTGAAGAAAGACATTTTATTTAGTGCAAACAGCTCAATTGTGATACAGCACAGCTGTGAAACTGCCTGATAGTGTACAGCTCAATTACCAAGCAGCACAGTGCAGCACAGCTGGGAAGCAGCCCCTGCTGCCAGGCCCATCTCTGGCAAGACAGCTCTGCTCCTGGTTTGCTCTTCTCTGCTCCAGTGAGACATCTTCGTGACATCTTTGGTGTTTGAACTCAGCCAGGGAAGCACTGCCTTCAGTCTCCAGTGGAAAGGGAAATTGTACTTTCTCAGTGAGAGGAGAGCTGCTGACATATAGACAGAAGTTCCCACTCCTGGGACTTTTGCAAATGAGGGTGCCAAATCTTCAGTTTGATTGGCCCCCAAAGCATTGTCCTGGTTGGTCAAAATGAAGCTTCTCTGATTGGTCAGTGAAGAATCTGATGGGGGATATAGATGTACAGCTGAGTTGGATGTGGAGCCTCAGTCCAATTGATTGAAATACTATTTCAGGAACTCCTTTATCAGGGCTGGCTCATATGGCAGGAACACTATGCAGGCAGGCAGTTCAGTTCCTCTGAAAACTAAAAGTCTCATGATAGCCTTGGCTTTCACTCCCCCAACCTTTCAGACACTCTTGTATGCACCAAAATTTATTTTCAGTATAAACTATCCAGAGTAGTTTCTATTTCCTCTCTTAAATATTTTCTGATACAGTATTTGGTACAGAAAGGTGTTCATAAAATAAAACCTTAATGATAGGAATTTAAGATTTATTATTTGATTTGGTGTTGGTCAAAGAGTAATAATTTCATTACCAGTGGAAAATAAGATATTGGTAGTTGAAGGCATACAATGGTAAAACAATTACTTATATAGTCACATGTAATCACCTGGAATGAGGTGCCTATTAAAAGCAAGCCTTTGTTAAGAAGTGTTTGACAGATATTAAGCAGGAAATAAGAAATACTGAGCAGGGCTAGAGCCAGTAGTTAGCCAAACAGCTGTCATTTATGATCCCTAAAGATATCTTTTGCAGAAAGTCCATCACTCATTTGATCTCACTGTAATTAAAATTTTCAAGAGAAAACACTATTGATGAAGAAAAGGTTGTGCTGAAATTTATGAACTTCATGACAATCTCAAATGTTCCCATAGAGAAAAGACAGGGTATCTACAAAGGAATAAGAATCAGGTTCAAATAAGAATTCCTAACTGCAACTTTAGATGGCTGGGAAATTCAGCCATCCAAACATTATTAAAAACATTATTAAACTAGAAGCCAGGTGCATGAAATCTGTGCACAGAAGAGGGTGGTCATCAGCCCAGCCTGTGCCCTCTGCAATCTGGGACCACTGGCTCCTGACCACCTGCCTATCTGCCTGATTGCCCCTAACCACTTGCTTGCTTGCCTCATCTTCTCTAACTGCTTGCCTGCCTGCCTCATTGCCTCTAACCACCTCTGCCTGCCTGCCTCATCACCCCTAACTGCTCGTCTGCCAGTCTGATCACCCCTAACCACTCTGCTTGTCTGCCTCATTGCCCATAACTGCCTCTGCCTTGGCCCCCACTGTCAGAGCTTTATCCAGAAGGATGTTTGGAAAGACCTTCAGCTATTCAGTCTAATTAGCATATTATGCTTTTATTATTATTATATATATATATTTTTTTAAATAATGGGCTTACTGGTAATCACCATTTTCAAGTTATATAAAATATACTGACTACAGAATTTTCTTCAAGGATTTAGGCAGTAAGGATCTACTCTAATATTACATAAGTAAAAACTTTTCATATGTATTACAAAAGAATTTAATCAATTAAGTTTTTCATAGCTATATATTACACAAATGAATATCATGAAAATATATTTTTATCTTATCTTTGTGCCCCAGCCAGTCAGTCATCTCTTTAGACATAAGGGTAACTTTTAAAAAAAAACAGTTACTTAGCTCAGGGCTGAGTTTTTATAACAGCTTTATTGATATTTAATTTACATAAGTTAAAACTCACTCTTCCAGCCGGGACCAGTTTGGCTCAGTGGATAGAGCGTCGGCCTTCAGACTGAAAGGTCCCAGGTTTGATTCCGGTCAAGTGCATGTACCTTGGTTGCGGGCACATTCCCAGTGGGGGGTGTGTAAGAGGCAGCTGATCGATGATTCTCTCTCATCGATGTTTCTGACTCTCTTTCCCTCTCTCTTCCTCTCTGTGAAAAATCAATAAATTTAAAAAAAAAAAAACTCACTCTTCCATGTTGTAAAATTTAGTGGTTTTTAGTATATTCATATTTTTTATCACAACTATTTAATTTTAGAACATTTCTATCACCCCAGAAAGAAACACCATACCCATTAGCAGTAACTCCTCATTTCCCCTATTCCTGGCTTTTGACAATCACTAATCTACTGTGTCTGTGGATTTGTCTATTCTAGACATCCTACATAATAAAGAGGTAATATGCAAATTGACCATTGCTCCAACACACAAGATGGCCACCCTCATGTGGTCAAAGATGGCTGCCCCCATGTGGACACAAGATGGCTGTCACAACATGGCCATCAGGGGAGGGCGGTTGGGGGGGGCAGGTTTGTAGGGAAGGGCAGTTAGGGGCAACCAGGCCTGCAGAGAAGGGCACTTGGGAGTGACCAGGCCTGCAGGGGAGGACAGTTAGGGGTGAACAGACCAGCCGGGCAGGACAGTTAGGGGCAATCAGGCTGGCAGGGGAGTTTTTAGGTAGGGAGGCAGGCAAGCAGTTGGCAGCCAGCAGTCCTGGATTGTGAGAGGTATATTCGACTGCTCGTTTAATCGGACATCCTTCAAGGGGTTCCAGATTGGAGAGGGTGCAGAATAGGCTGAGGGACACCTCTCCTCCCTCCTCCCCCCCAAATCCATGAATTTCATGCACCTAGTTTCATATAAATAGAATAAAAAATGTGTTGTCTTATGTGTATGGCTTCTTTTTGCTAGTGTTAGTGGTTCATCCATATTGTAATATAGCTTATTTTTAAATTAAAATGTGATCAATATTTGTTCTGCATGAAGAAAAAACAAAAATGACAGGTGAGTACCTCAATATTTGCCATAGTAGCTGTTTATTTGACAGACATCTTAGACAAGCCAAGGCATTTCGTCATGTTTCAGCGCAT